GCCACCGGAGCGACCGAGGCAGCCGCTGAGGCCGCAGATGGGCGCCCTGAGGCGGTGGACGAACCTATTGCAAAGCGCCCGCGCCTTGCAGGGGAGGAGCTCACTGTGGGTTTTTGGGGCCCGCCCAACCACGCTCCATCCCACGCCAGCAGCGGAGACAACAGCATGGAGTGGTACGAAGAGGTGCGGCCTTTCCACCTCGAGTGGGAGCGGTTGGCCTTGGAAACGCTCGCGATGTGTGAACGCGCGCGACGAGCTTGGCGCGAACTTGGCCAGGCAATGGCTGCCGCGGGCTACGAGGATGCCTGGAAGCAGAGCTCCCAGTATTACCGCGAGTACTGGCAATGGCACTTGGAACAGGCGGGGGCGGCCCTGCACCATGTAGCCCGTTAGCGGCCCGCGCGCCGAGCATGAGCCCATGAGCTCTGCTCGGCGCGTGGGCCTTCTCAAAAGTTAGCGCCTTCCACTCTTTGTGGAGCAGCGCATCGTCGACGAGTTCGGCGAAGTTTGGATCAACGCCCCCGTCCAGGGAGGCGGCGGCGAGCAGGGCCCCGTGGAGGGTAGCTAACGAGGACCCTCGAGCCCTGCGAATGGTGCCCACGGAGGGGGTGGACGGAGGAGGAGGAGGAGGGCGGAAGAGGAGAAGGAGGAGGAGAAGGGATAATGTTAACTTGGCTGCGGCATTCTCGACGCCCCGCGCACCCCCGCCAGCCCCCCCTGGAAGGGTGCTCAGCCGAGTTGCTTTCATCGGGGTAGGGTGTGAGAGTCATTGTAAGAGTACGCGTAGGAGTAAGAGTAGGAGTAGGAGTAGGAGTAGGAGTAAGAATAAGAGTAAGAGTAAGAGTAAGAGTAAGCAGCGTAGTATGCGTGATATTAAGAGTCGTAGCAGAGCATGAATAAGACTTAGATTTAGATGGTTTTCAGACACGCTGGAAGCATGTTGGAGCCATCATGCACGCATCTTGGGGCCATCCTGAAACGCGTTGTCGGCACTCTATCGGAGGCGCACTGGGGGGAAGCATTCGAACCTCCTTGGGCCCTTCGGGTCTTCTGGAGCCCTCGTGAGGCTATCTTAGAGGACCTTGCTCGGGCGGGGAGGGGGTCAGTTAGCTGTGTCCCCCATCCACGCACTGGGCCTTTACAACAACCGCTTGAGGTAGTCGTGGTGCGCCGTTCAGGCGCTCTTGGAGCCATCTTGGCGCTCCCTGGGGTGTATATTTGGGCATCGCTTGCCCCCCCCGCCCACGCAGCCCCTCCTGATTCCACCGTTCCTCCTCGTCCTCCCCTTCCTCAGCATTGTCGTCATCATAACCACCCTCACCCTTATCACCGTTATCATCGTCATCTCAGTCCCCATCGCCATCATCTTCATAATCGCCTTCATAGCCTCCATCAGCATCGACCTCGCCATTATCATCACCACCGTCACCTTCATACTCGTCATATCCGTCATCATCCCAATTGTCATTATAATCGCCATCGTCACTGTCATCTTCACTATTGCCACCACCATCGCCACCGTCACCACCCCCCACCCCTCCATCCTGCCACCTCTTCCCCCCCTCTCCCCCTGTCCTCTGCGCCCCCCCCTCGCCGTCCTTTTCTCGCGTCCTCTGCTTCCTCAACCCTCCTTATCCTACTCCGTCCTCGTCCGCTCTGCGTCTTCATCTGTCTTCCTCCCTTTCTTATCCTCCTCTGCATGCCCCCCCCCCTCCTACCCCTCCTTCCCCCCTCCCATACCTTCCCCCTCCTTCTCCCCATCCTCCCCCCTCATCCTCTTGACGCCAACTTGTATATGCTGCAATTGTGGGTCGAGCGGCTACTTGTAGTTAGGTTTGTTCCCCAGCTTTGAGTTGCAATCGTGTCAGCCCCTCCCCCGCCCGACCAAATGTCCAAGCGCGACGGCAGCCATTCAGCCCCCAAGGGAAAGGCAAAGCGGCAGAAGCAGGTTATCATCTGCGTAGGCTGCGATTGCAACAGCGAGGACGCTTCAACCCAACCCCCTCACGGGCGCCCCTAAACATCTTCAGCCGCATTGGAGGATTGGTAGGGGAGGGTGTACTCGGAAATGAGGATAGGGAGGAGGAGGAGTGATAAGGGTGACTGTGAGCACGGGTAAAAACTGTGGCGGGGTAAAGAGGATATATGGTAGGAGGAGGATAGGCAGAAGAAACAACCTGAGAGGTGGAGGCGGAGGGCGATAAGGGGAGGGTGGGGGGCCACGACAAGGGACGAGTAGGAAGTAGACGCGGCCGAGGGGGGGGGGAGGAGGAGTCACGCGTTTGTTTTGCGTTCCTTTCCCAGGAGCACGAATGGTCACCCACGGACGCCGAAGATCAGGCATCGGCCCAGCTCCTGTGCGGGAAATGCTACAAGAAGGCAGATACGCACTTGTCCAGCTGCATGTCGATGTCGCAGGTTGTCACTATGCTGCAGAATGATGATGACTTCAAGCGTGGCTTCAAAGAGTCCGATGAAGAGGCGAAGCTCAACCCAGCCGAGCGAAGCTTTGCACCCGAGGATGTGAGCGACACGCACTTCTTCGAGATGGTGGATTACCGCGAGTTCTTGAAGTTGAATGAAGGCGAGGTCAAATCTCTGTGTAAGGCGACGCCGAAGAAACTGAAGCTCCACGAGATCGAGGGCACGAACGAGGTTGGCGATCAGGAGACGCAGTACCTGATGATCGACGACATCGGCGGCCCCAGGACCGCTCAGTACCGACGCACGCGCATCAGCGTTGGCAGGATGGTTTCGAGGCGCCTCGGGATGCTCTTCCACGAGGACCACGCGATAAGTAAACATGGTGAGCTACTGCATGATCATGCGGTTCGAGGGATGGTCGACGATGTGAAGATACCTCCGTCTGGGAAGAAGAGAAATCCAGAGCAGGGTATGGATTGGCTCCAGCGGGTGCCCAAGCTGTCCAAGGCGCCAGCTTTCAAGGATGAGGCCCCCGCCGACGACGCTGACATGGATGCCGAGGACGAGGCTGACGGCCCTGCCGCATCGGATCGGCGGCCAGGCCGAGGCGGCTTTCATGGCGGCTCTGCGAGGGCCGCGGCTTCGGGCAGGGGCGAGCTCCGCTCGCGGAAGGCTTCGCCAGGGTCTGCCGCGAAGGGCACCAGCTACAACAACTCCCCGATGCCGTCGCCGTCCCCGACGCCAGGTGTGCGACGGCCTGGCTTGTCCATTTCCCAAGGCGGCGTCGGCTCGTCAGTCGCGGGCTCCACCGCGGACCCAGCTGTCCAGGCGATCTCAGACGACGACGGCGAGAAGGGCGAGGGTGCCTTGGCAGACGCCGACGCGGCCTCCAACGGCGACAGTGGCGATGGCGAGAAAGGCAGCGGCGATGACGGGCCAGGTCTGGGCGACGACGGCCGTACCACTGCTACCTCTTTCGACGCGTGCCCCAAGGACACAAAAGGCAAAGCTATGTACTGGAAGGAAATGAACGACCTCACAGCGTGGCTGGAGGACAAGCCTCTGGGGAAGGAGTACAACCAGGCCAAGAGGCTCCTGCGGAAGATCAGCAACAAGAAGGAGTTTGAGCACGAGCACAAGATGCTCAATCGGCACATGCAGCTGGTGGATGATGCGAAGTACGTCAGCGTTGCCAACATCAGCGAGGCGAGCGAAGATAAAATGACAAAGGTCTTTGAAAGGCTGAAGGGCGCCAGGGCCGTCTTCCCGAACAAACTGCAAATGGTTGTGCTCGAGAGGCGTCTCACCAGGAAGCTCAGTGGCGCGATCGAGCGCATGTCAACTGATGATGCGAAGCAAATCTACGACCTTGTCAAGCCGTACGGCCATGCCGAAACGACGGAGTTCGACCCCTTGGATCCGACGGTGTCCTCGCTTTCCTCTTGCAGCCGCCTTGCTTTCTTCAAAGACTTCTTCGTGAAGGGCATCGTCACCCCTCTTCTCGACAACGATGGTTCCAATCAGCAGCGCCTGAAGGTAATGGTAAACTACGTCAGTATCACCATCAAGCTCGACCTGAGGAGCTCCGCTATTCCAGAGAGGTACAGCAATGACTTCTTCGCGCTGCTTACGGCCCTGAAGGTGATGCATTGCGCGCTCCACCGTGAGGGCATCGAGATCTTGTCGAGCTTCGTCGGCGAGTCCATCGCGGAGCTCGACGAAATGGCAGCTTCCAAGGCTAACTCGGATGACATTGCACAGGTCCTCCATGCATCAATCTACGATTCGGCATTCTATTCCTCGGAGCTGGAGGACTTCAAGCGCTACCAGAAGACAGCATCCAAGTACCTCGAGGACGCCAGCGAAACCATCACCAGCTTGGCGGATATTGCATCGCGCCCTGGCGACGTGCTGCTCGCGAGCTTTGGCGAGGTAAAGCCCGTCCTCCTACACGCGTTCCAAGAGTTTCCGAAGTGGAACGTGTCGTTCCGACCTGGCTACATGACGCCCGTCGCGCAGCTGATGACGAATACTACTTTGCAGCTCTTCTGTGATTACGAGCAGTCCAGGTCCCACCCCTCGAAGACGTGCGCGTCGGCCAGTACGGACGACATTAAGCAGCTCGTTGAGCAGGCGGCTGCATGCTTCCCTTTGGACGATGACCTGCAGACCAAGCTTGCCCAACTCCACTCCTGGGGGCAGACGCAGATTTTCGGTCAGAAGCTCAGCGCCTTGGACAACGCGCTGAGCTCTATCAAAGCTTCGGACGACGTCACTTCTGAGCAGTGCGCGGCCTTGAAAGTGGCGTGCGAGAACTTCAGTGGCATGGAGCCTACTCCGCTGGTGCGCGAGGCGGCCGAACTGGTGTACATGAGCATCGCCGCCAGCGTGACGGGCCATCTGCTGCAGGATGACCCCAATGAGGCACAGCAGCGCTTCATCAATGAGGGATGCTGGCGATGACGCCGTTGCAGCCTGTCGTCATCCGCCATGGGGCCCCCCACAAGAACATTCACGATGCGACCTACAACATCATCAGGTACTACCAGAGCGCTCAGGCCAAAGCAGGCGCGGTGATGAAGCTCGGCTCTGACGACGTGGAGCGCTCGCAGCACGCTGACGCAGAGCAGTGTTGCAAGGACATCTTCGGCGCCATCGACGGGTACGACAAGTTTTGGGACCAGTACAAGGGCTTCAACCCCAACAAGATCCCCGAGCAGTTCAATCTGATGGCGATCAAGGTTGAGGGCTGGAAGAAGACGGCGAAGGTGCTGAGCGGGCTGGTGGTAGATGACTGCAAGTTGAATACGAACAAGACCATCGACGCCGTTCAAGAGTGTGCTGGCGGCGCCCTGGAGGGCAAGAGCTGGACAGATGGGCTCCAGGCGTCGGCGAAGATCGATGCGGTCCTCAAGCACTTCAGCAGCACGCTGTGCTCGTTCGACATGAAGGCGGGCAAGGCGAAGGTGCAGGCGATGGAGAAGGCCCTGCCCAGCCTCAGCGTTCGACCAACCCTCCCTCCACCGCCGTCGTCGTCGCCCTCGGCCTTTGCCGTCGTCGTCGACGTCGTGGTCATCGTCGTCGTCGTGGTCGTCGTCGTCGTCGCCGCCGCCGTCGTCGTCGTCGCGCTGATGCGCTATCGCGTGGCATTCGAGGCCGTGGGCGCGTACAAGGCCTTGTGCGGCTCGTTCGGCCTCGACCCGAACGCTGCGGTGCTGAGCGAGTCCGAGTCGTGCGCGGCGCTGTGGCACGTCACGACGGCGGAGAAGGCGTGCTGCCTGGCCTTGACGGCGAAGCCCAAGCTCAGCAGGATGGGGCTGCAGCAGGCCGTGGCCGCAGAGGAGAAGAAGGTCAAGAAGTACGGCGGCTTCGACAAGTTCCAGCCCGCGCTGAAGGAGAGGTGCGTCAAGGCGATCAGCTTCGACTAGCACTAGCTGGGAGCCTAGGTCGAGGCTCCTCCGCGCCCTGCCGCCGCGGAGGCGGGTCGCCTCGGGGAACTGGCGCCACCGCGCTGGTGGCTGGAAAAGGAGATGGCCAGGAGTGGCCAACATGTATTGGTTGGAGGAGGGGTGGGAGGGGGGAGGGGAGACATAGGATGAGGCAGTGGATGAGAATGACGAGGAGGATCAGGAATAGCGTGCGAGATAGCAGGGGCGGGCATGGAAGAGCACGCGGTTGGCCCACATCCCCGTCGAATGCGTCTCGGGCCTTTGCTCGGGCCCGCTTCGGGCTCAGAGG